TTTGGGTGTTCAATCCTGGTTAGTGGGATTGGTGGATAATCCGATTGTAACTGATTTTCCACTTTTAGTGACGAGTTACATGTACAAGTTTGGTCTCTCAGAGCCCCAAGACGCAAGTCTGGAGAGTCGAATTTGTCGTAACGTGGTTGACTTCTTCCACACCAAATGGTGCAAACGTGAGTCTGCGCAGGGGCCACACGAACGCTCCAAAACCGTGGCTTATGTGCATAAGTATAGCCAACCTACCGCTGCTGGTCCACCCATCCAACATAACACCTGCGCTCAACAGACTTGTCGAGTGAGAATGGTAAGTGCAAAGATCGAAACAACTTCTTTTTCTTAATCCATTTTCTCTTCATCTTTTGCTCGCCCATTGCTTCTATCCTTCCTTATTATTTTCTGCTCCCTTGCGCTCCCCACCACTGGCCTCTATTTGTAATTCACTTTTCCTTTTTGTAGGTGGGAGGACTTGAAGAACTTAAATATCAGGTAAAAATTATGCGTTTCTGTCCTTTACCTCCCTCCGTCTTTTGGAAATAACCTCACTCGACTGAGGTCAGAGGACTTAAAACCGGAAGGGGGCAATACACTGAAGATAATTGGATGAGATAAGAACGAACAAGTATTACAATCTCCTCTCGAGATGTTATAAATTTGACTGTTAAAAGTGGACGCTGGATGGGTTACCACTTTCTGAATAACTCAACCAGTAATGTACAAGGCAATTTCATCTAAAAGGCCTGAATTCATTTTTTTTGTGTTGGACACTGTACACAGGATGCGTAGGTCGCCCACAATGTTCCACAAACACTCAAACATCCCAAGGCAATATTCAACTGAGGTGCTATGTTCAGAATGAGTAATTATGAGCGCTTTTGTTACGAAAGATGAGATGAATTTACAATCACTTCATTGACCTCACAACTCCCCATCCTCTAAATTGCCTTTAGTCAATTTTCCGCTAACAGTTTAATTTGTTACTCGTTAGTAAATTGTACGAAGTGATATGGGAAATCCAAATGTCACATGTACGCGACACCGACCGAAAAAGTGTTAACAGCCAAGACCTTCACTCTGAGTGCCTCGCCAACCGCAAATTTTGTGATTAAGTGCATGAACAAATTTTTTTTTGAGGGAGGAGGGAGTGCATGAATGTCATAGTCCCAATGTGGACGTTGACTTCGCCTCTACCCACTTGTTCATCTGGTCCTCATTCATCAATTCATTCCATTCATCCACACACCCATTTTTTATTTCACTTCATCGCATTATCAACATCCGTGTTTTGCATTTTGGAACGTGATTCAGTCAACGCTCCTGAGTGTGAGTCTTGAATTCCCGTTGTAGACTGTGTGTATGTGCTGGAGATGGGTGGGTTAATGCAGCGACCGCTCGTCAAGCGTTTTGATTTGCCCATTACTACTACTACTGCCACCACCACCACCACCATTACAGGCAATCACGAGTGAGGCTTTATGATCGTGTACAGTTGAGTGGAGCAACCTGTAATCCAAATGGACTCTTGATTTTCCTTTGATTTTCACTTGCTCCTCACTTACTAACTAGTGGTTGTGTGGACAACTTCCGGTTTCTGCCCTGTCAACTGATTAGGCTGACTCGTTCCTTTCCTCCGCTATTTCAAAATTTCGATGGAATCAGAATGATTTTTGGAATTCCGGTTAGACCGTTGTATTTTTTCCACTTTGTCTACTGCTCTGTTGCACTTAGTCCACGACTCACTCTACCATTAAAATTTTTTTGTGTTTAAACCCATTAAAGATAATCATAATTTCCTGCTTATACACAGTCACAGGTGTGGTGCACCGTAACTGGCAAAGAATGGCCTCTTCAGTTTCTGCAACTGCATGGAATTCTTTCAAATAAACCACACTTATAGTCGGGCATAATTAGACATTTTTGTCGCTGTTTACTAGGAAACTTCACGATTGCTGAATGCCTGTTGAGATTTTGCCCATTTCTTAAACGCTTAGACACCATCGATTCCTATAGTCTACACGCCTTCAGCGGAAAACTCGATGGAAGAGGACTCACCTACTAGCATCTCTTCGCCCTCCCCAACTGCGAGCACACTTCCGCGATCAACGAGGGGTCGGTCGCTATCCAGAGGACCTCTTTCGGTTGTTGATCGGCGCAACCAGAGAGTGAGACCGACCTCTAACCTCCTACTTCCTCTCGGAGAGATGGAGGTGCGAAAGGCTCCTCTGAAGATCGAGTAAGATTACTGGCTTAAACGTCGATTGATATACGTAACCTTCAGTAGTGCTGTTGTTTATGTCGTACGTGGATTTGTGGTGCGTGCTTATTGAGTTTGAGCGTCAATTAGCTCAGAACAGCGTTCGAGGCATCTGATGTTCGTCTATTACCAAGATTGCAGCAGCCACCTTGAGTTTTTAAATGGATTTCATTACTGGCATTTACCACTTTGGAAACTGAAAAATTGCTTGATTGTGCATACAGTTAGAGTATTTCATCACAGAAGCATTGACGTACTTTGAGGTGGACATCAAAATGAAAACGAAGGTATGAGATTCTCTACCATGATTACCTGGGGCCTCCAAATTTCAAATGTACTGATCAGTTCTAACGAATTTGATTGACATATCCGGGATGTACTTTCGCAGCTTCAAACATTTGTAGGGGCCTTAATGTTTAAGTAATGTTTATGGTTCTGTGACGACTCGCCCTTGCTCCACCCTCCTTTGCCGTCTGTTACCACTTCGATGCTGTTAAGCTATTTTCAGACTCATAAAACACTAGTCGCTCTAATGACTTCACAACCTTACCGTTGCTTTTTGCGTTGGCATTAGCTGCAATCATTCTTTTATGGGCGATTCGATCCCTTCTATAAATGGCTCCAATTTGGAACAAGTGGTTGGTTATGTATCTGCACGGCCTCGATCAGCTTCGTGTCGGGTGTGTAGAAGGTGTACATCAATCTCCGCTGTTTCTACCAATCCAGTACTTAATTTGCATTCAAAGGTGCCATAGTGCGTGCAAGTTGAAAGAAAACTTTTCCTTCAATAAAAGGGAGAAGTCATGAGAGAAAAGAACCAAAACATGTGACATGACCGAGACCCCATTACATAACTGAGAAAGGCAGTTGGTGGAAGGGAATTGTCGTTTATTTTTAATCAATCGCACAATTTCTTGGATTCATTTTAAAGTACTTCATAATCATTTATGCCCCTAAGCACTGTAAAGTATTAAGATCCTGCGAAAAGATATTTGTTTCTTCGACTGTCTACTACTTGCCTACACTGTTGAGTCAAAATACCTTCTACAATGGTAATCATGATCTTCAGGCACGCATTATTTTACCAATTACTCTTATGAAATCACTTCCAAACAATAATCCGGCCCATTCTAGTGGTCGCTTTTAACCCCACTGCCTTTCTCTTGCATGTTTAGTAGAAATACATAGGGAGGAGGCGTTTAATCATGCATGCAATCATGCATTGCCTTTTGCAAGGACGGAGCCGTCATTCGTACTCCTCCCTTCCCTCTCCCCTCCGCCCCACATTTAGTCCTACAATAAAAGGTGAATTGGGCTACACCCTAGTCCTTTTTGAAAGTCAAGTAATGGGAACGGTAGAGCATGGCGACTGAGCATGGTGTGTAATTATATGGCGGCCAGTTAAAACCTTGGGCAGCATTATGGAATCGTTGTGCAAGGATTAGTCCAAGTTATGGTCATGACGTGCTTAAAGACTGCCTTGGATTGATTTGTTGGTTTGAGTGATCCATCGAAATTGGAGTGTTTAAATGCCCCACCAACCAAGGCGTTTAGAGGATTTGAGCCCTTAACTTGATAGGATGAGGCTGCGAACTGTGAGTTAAATGCTCTTGTGCACATTACGATTCAAATGTTTCAGTTTGCCTTCTTAATGGTTCCCCTGAGAATTAGTTTAGGAAACGGCACTTGTATATAACATTTGGATGGTAAGGTGATTAACTGACTTATTATTCGCTTAAAAGACAATCAAGATTTGAAAATGCAAAATCTCATACGACGGCAACTGTTTTTTGGTTTTTTTGTTTCTTGGTGTAATAAATTCCTTTAACTTGTGGAGAGGGTCTTGTTAGATGTCCATAACTGGTGGTGCTGACATTACCAGGAAAGACATAGAATTCCGTCAACCTATCACTCCGGCGTCCTCCCTATTACATGATGGTTGGAGCTTGATACATGTGGATTTACTTTTACTGCATGACTATGGGATTGTCTTGTAAAATATACATGGTTTTGAAGGAGCCGTGTCAGTGGAACACATTGCATTCTAAAAGAATCCTTTTTCATGGTGGTGGCGGAGACTTACGTAACGCTAGCGGCACACTATAGTGTCTTTGGAAAACTGTGCCAACAACGAACGCCAGCAACAGTTAACCTAATAAGAACAATGGAACAACCGATTCATACAACAACACCATTGAACTAGAACCCAAGTGCCTGTACCTCTGCATTGTGCTCATCAAAACTGCAGTGGCATATGACAATAAGCTAGAACGGCTGCAACCCCATTCCTCACCTCCCACCGCCCGTTCAGTGGCGCCTAAATTTTAGCTTGCTCCTTCACTGATTGACTGGCTGATGATAGAGAATACCATTTTTGCTAGTCTTTTAACGTAAATTGCATGCTTACACTGGTGTGCAAAGATGGATCTCCTTGCCAACCCCATTCCCCTATGACATTTCTCTGGGCAGTTATCGAAAATTTCATAGTCGATTGACAAATGAATTCGATAGTCGAGAGGTAAAAGTGGACATTACCAAATACTGGAGAAATTGCAGTGCTCATACGCATGTACGTTAATTAGCCGAGAAACAAATTTTTGACCACGAACCTGACCTCAACCCTACCATCCTCTATCGCTGTCAGCAGGGAGTGGAAAACTGCTTTCACTGTCCTAAAGCGTTAGTAGTTTGTTTTTCTCGAACAAGGGTACCGAGACGTGTGACTTCTTTCATTCTCCATGTTTGTGCTTAGTAAATATCAGTTTGGATCTTGTTGAGAAACAGCTTTTGTTTCCATTCCGTCTGTTAGTACTCATCAATTGGGTTTTCTGTTCAGCTTAGGAGGTTTTGAGTGAAAAGAATGTGCCAACTTGTGTAATAATAACAACATTGCCGGTAGGCTTTGTTGTAGGTCATAAAGGCTAAAAATAGGTAGTGATTTTGCGTAACCCATGGGTCGAATTCTTGCTAAGTTTGGCTTGGTGAAATCGCCTCAAGTTCAAAAGCATACAACATTTTGTCGTTGGTATTTGAGTTTTAAGGATACGTTGATGCATTTTTTACTCCTACAACCCTCCGACCTATAGTGATTCCAGGTTAATACAGGATCACACTTGTTTGAAACCCAAAACTTGGTAAGTAAATGTCCAGCTCCTTTGGGTTTATTAGCCAAGGTGAAGCTAGTATGGAAACGTTTCGGCATCTTTGGACAACTTGACAGGCTGATTGATTGTGTCCTCCCAGAAGAGGTGGAGGGTTAATGATTGCGAGAGTGAGAGATCAAAAGAAGCCTATGGCGTGTCCTTTTTTAAGCGTTCGCCATGCGTGCATTGTATGCGCTCATTCTTATGCATAATTACCGATGACACCGCTGCTATCACCTTCCTAACCCAGTTGGTAGTCTCTTCAAACTTGGCCAAAGAGGTTACACACGCGCACATATTTTGCCCTCTCTCTGTGTCTCGCGTGGGATGGATTCGATAGTTGGTCTATCCGCAGACATTCTGGTAACAAGCATTCTGCACGAATACTTCAGGGTGCCCTCGAGCTCGCAACCTCTGTTGACGGACTTAGCAGGGACGCACGATCTTGGCTTTCATGATCATCGTCGTCGACGCACAAATAGGAAGGGCTCTCTCGAATCATCATCTCTAGGAACTGGGGCTGAAGCGAACCCCGAGGCCAACTTCCTCATCTCGCCCATTTGCCTTGTCAATGTAGAACTACCCTCTGTGAAGGAAGCGGAAAAATTGCACCCTCTACTCATGGAACTTGATGCTACACCCTATCTCGAGTTGGACAACTCTAGTTCGGTGAGTAGTAATGCGACTAATTCGTCAGCGTTGGTTATTGGTTATAATTATTCAAATGCGGATCTTGCCATCTTTTGCACTGCCATACATTTCACATATGGTTCCTTCTTATTGAACCTTTCATGTTGAAAACCCAAATCTCTTAACAACGACCCCAAGTTTTCCGTTTTCTATGGGGAAGAATTTAAGGAAAAAGACCATGGGTAGATTAAATCCTCCATCCCTTTTTAAGGTAAATTTTTTATCATTCGGGAAGGTACCGCACTAATCCTGTCTACAACCTTTGACGCAGAGCTTTAAAATAGAGTTGGAATGCTATTTTTCTATTGGTAATGTTTTTTTTTGGAGTACAAATGGCTGTATATTCAATCTTACGGGATTGTGCATTTCTTGAACGGAGAAATGATTACGCTGTCTTTTTCAGCTAGTGCCATTTTCCCGCAGTTTAGTTCTGGGAGATTCTGTCAGTTAGACGATAGATTGCCTCAATTTTTGCGACCGTTCTCTTCGTGTTATCTGTTTTTGAAGGAGAGCTATGAGGGTATGGAAATGTTCTTCCTCAGTCGACTCCTAGTCACCTGCCAATTATATTAGCCCCACGGTGAAGCTTTTACTTATCGCAGTGAACGGATTGAAGGTCACAAAGTGATAAAACCGCACCAAGTTTTTAAGACTGGGGCAGAGTAAAGCGAAAACGTCAATCCTACTGTTGAACGTGCGACTTACGCTAACTTTGCAAATACGAGCCAAGCGCACAGAAAATGCTGTTGTCATGGTTATGTTTTCCTTTTGTTTAGGAGTGCGCTTACACTAACTTCGGTTCCTTACTGTTTGTAATGGATGCAGTCCTAAAGTTTGAGGTAACCACTTTAGCGAAATAAAGTTGAAGCTGTATGGCGGATTGCGATAGTAGTGCGTTTCTATTTCCATCCTAAATGCCAAATATGTCTGATCTCGCGGAATTGATTAGCGATCTTTCCAAATAATTAATATTTTATGAATAAGAATGAGCTATCCTCGACGGAACCATAAAGCCTACTGTTTGAGAATTAACGTTACTAAAGCACAGAAGACGAGCGAGCAATTCGACGTGGACATCGGTAGACTGGAGAATTTACTACTCTGATCTTGCTTTAGCTTTTCCTATTCCTCATCCTGACGGTGAGTAAAC